AGAAGCTTGCTATCCCCGTTGCTTTTCTTAATGTCGTAATATATATAAAAATATTTTCAAGTACTAAATACTATTAGTAGTATCCCAAAATGTTTTTTTGAATAGGATCATTAGTGTTCCATTGGAGTTCAAACCATATAAACCATTACCTTTAGGTACTAAAATAGTAGGCATATATAAACTTGAACAATTTAAAAACAGTTGTTTAATATGATATGGGTAATATCAAATAAACATAATATACAAATCAATAAGTAAAAATAACTGAATGTTGATCTGTTTATTACGACACTGAATCCGTCCAACAAGGATCGGGATGACAGACATTAGATAAGACTAACTTCTCCGAGCTTGGATTTCCGGTCATCCTGTAGGACTAGGGACTCGTTTATGAGTCACGTCTCGTACACGCAACATAAACGCTAACGCTCCTACTTATTCCTTGCTTATATTATGTTATTAGTTACCATACTAGTATAATTACGGTGCGTACGTCAATCACGTTGCTCTAATGACAGTCGGGAAACGGTTAACATCCTGAATGGGTATGCTGCGTCTGTTTAAGTAGACCTTAGAGTTAGATGGGATGTCTAACTATTAGGTTTATTGAAAAAAACACAAAACACGCAAGAATTACTTGAAATGGAATGCATTAGTGTACATTGATATTTTTACGTCGTTCGTATGTAATTTAAAACGTGTATTTGAAAGAAGATATTTTAGTTTAGTAGTCTGAATCCTGATGATAAATACATTGAATTTCAGAGCAGAGGGCGCGTGCGGAGTGGCGCGATGGTTGCGTGATCGGTCATCATGCGCCTCTTCCGCGGGCCGAAGCGCAGGGAAGTGACCGGGCCGCGAGCCGTCGCGACGCCGTCTCCGCGCCGAGACGCCGCCGCCGCAGACATCGCTGACACTACACCGCACGTCTCTCACGACTTCACGCTCGTAACCGCACTGCCAGCCATGGTTATGGAGGATGATGTCAAGGAAATGAAGAAAGGTACTGCTCATTGTTATAATTATATCTGTCTACATTATTGTCTTCATTTGCCAATTGCAAGTACATAATCTATTTAGTCTTAGAGTATCTTTTGTTTATAACTATTTTTATTGTTTCAGTGTTTGCTACGTGGGGTCGTCGAATGGGTAAAAAACTTGAAATGTTAAAGAAAACCGATAGTAAAGAAATATCGGAGGAAACAAAATCCAACGATGATATTATCAAAGAAGAATGTAATAACATTTCCACTGGGCAATATAAAAAGAAGCAACATTGGAAAATGGGACGAAGCAGTTCAGATTCCACATCGTTAAAAAAAGACAATGACACTGATTCTATCAGAAGCGGTTCAAGAGACAGATCGCCCAGCCCTTTCAAATCTTTTTTTCATAGAATGGGTTCTACAGGAATGTTAAATTCAGCTAAATCTCAATCATTAAATATGCATAAAACTCCTGAAAACTATCCTGTGGCCAATGGACCATCGTTATACCGTAGTTGTTCTACGTCCCATCTTTCCACTTATGTAAAAGCTGATGACCCATCAGATGACATTGATTTACAAAATGCTGATAATGAGAGTAAAAGTTCCCCTAAGAAACATAGTGTTTTGTCCGAAGACACTTTGGTTTCATCGTCAGCCAAAGCAGTTAGCTGTGACAATATAACAAATCTAAATGACGGGCAAACTAATAACGGAGCTTCTAAAAAACCAAATTTTCCTTATGCGTTCTTAAGATCAAAATTATCAGTATTGCCAGAAGAAAACAGTATGGCTTCTCAGCAAAGGACCAGTGTTATGAGACAAAGTTTATCTGAAAGAATTGATAGAAAATCACCGAAATTTCGAAAAGATAAAATGTGTTTTACAAATTCTCGATCAGAGGAAAGATATCAGAGTAGTGACAGTATATCTATTCATGACGAAAATACTCTATTTAATAATGCTTTAAGGAAAGATTACGACTTCTCACGAAGTTCCATGAGAAGTATAAATGAAATAGATGACAGTATGTATCAGATTGGACGCATGGATGATGTACCTCGACGATCATCTATGATTTCTCACAGAACACCCCTAGATTATGATCCTATGCTTATTCCACGGAACAGAAATAGTTTACCGGTATATGAATATAGTTCTGTGCTAGGTTCGCTGCGAGACATTAAAACCGAAATAACTTCGTCTTCGCAAAGCATTCATCACGCACCAGAACAAGCAGAAGTGCAAACTCATCGTCTTAGTAATTATGTTAGTTCCAATGAATCTGGATATGATAGTGATGGTCGACCTACCGATGACCACAGTAACCATTCTCCGCCAGGATATTCTTCACATTTTCATAATGGTTCCGGTCGTAAAGAATCTATGGATATGAATTACGAAGGCAATCATGGAAATTTTTCAAGACAATTCAGTTTAAATCACAAAATAAATTTTGGTCGTGTACAAGTTCCAATCAGACGAAGTTCTACCCCGTGTGCTTTATTTCCTGTAGAGAAAAGTAATTCTTACGATTACGGAAATGAAAGTAAGGATAACATACACAAATTTCCTAGTGATAGTATAAAAAACAATATGTTCGAACATATAGATTCAAAACCACCGCCGCTTCCAAAGAAAACTATAAAAAAGCAACCGTACGTCTATAAAACGATAACCTTAGACGAAAGAGTGCAGACGAGAAAAATAAAATTTTTGCACTCTCAATTAATCCCCATTGAACAGTCATCAAATCAGGATATTATGGCAGAGCCTCCTACACAAATGCACCATGTTTCTGAAACAGACATTTTAGGTAGAGGGCCTTGCACTAAAAGATTCAGAAAAATAAGACTACTAAAATCGAGGCTGGACGAGAGTCTTGGTGTTTATTTAGCACAACACAGGGTAGATTTTGATAGCAGCGGTTCAAATTTTGAAATTCGGTACATTATTGTCAAGTTAGACTTTGACGGTATAGCTCATAGAGACGGAAGGTTACGAATAGGTGATGAGATAGTCAATGTTAATGGCAGAATATTGCGAGGTCTATCATCGCTTAAAGATGTACAGCATATAGTTAATTCTTGTTCGACTGAAGCTACGATTGAAGATGGAGCATTATTACAAAGATATCAAGTGGATCTTGTAATGGCGCACGATGAAATAACCCCTATAACATTAAGTAGGATTATAAATAATCAGCCATTAGAACAAAATACTGTCACGCTTCCTTCATCGAACGTACCCCCGGACATAATATCTCAGACTGTACACAAACCGTTGCCCTCAAATCAAATAACAATCGAAACACATTTCCCAGCTGAAAACCAATTTTATCACAACAATATGTGCAATAGAACCAAAGAACATTCAACCGAACTGGTAAATTGTGATTCCAATTCAAGAACTGATCATCAAAGAAAATGTGAGGTTGGTATTCAGGTGAATAATGGTCCATTACTCTCAAACCAAAAGAGTGACGATGAAAAGTTGCTAGAGCGGCACTGCTATTCCCAGTCAGCTTCATTGCAAAACATTACGAATATTGAAATTTCACTTAGGTCATCACCAACACCTAGGTCTAATCAAGGCAATAACTACAGACCGATATCGTTTCATACTTCTAGACCTCCATCAACAGGACCTTACTCCGTCTACGGTGACAATGCAACTAATGAAATTAAAGAAAATAATTTTTCACATTATATAAAACACGTACCCAGACTGTACCAAAACAGATCATTTGAAAGCATTCCTGAACAATTGAGAAATAGTAGTCGAAGTAGATTTTTCAGTAGAGTTGGATCCCAACGATGCTCTCCTAGTCCTAGTCCACATGTATCGAGGCTACAAGAACATACAACGGCCTTACATCAAGATAACCATCAACATGGCGGACACTACGCGCACAGTTCCTTACACAAAGTGGAATTTTGGAAAGGGCAGGGACATAAAAGCCTTGGTTTCAGTATTGTGGGTGGAACAGATTCGCCAAAAGGCCAAATGGGTATTTTTGTTAAAACCGTATTTCCAAATGGACAAGCGGCTGACAAGGGTACCATCTTTGAAGGTAACTAGTATTTTATTAATGTTGTAGTTTTTATTTGCTGTATATGTTTACATAATTTTAAATACAATGCATACATTTTCCTTTACAGGTGATGAGATATTATCTGTAAACAGTGTGCCAACACGTGGATTAAGCCATGCTGGGGCTATATCTCTCTTCAAACAAGTTAAAGAAGGAAAAATAGAACTGACGCTTTCAAGAAGAAGGTAAACAATTAAACAATACAACAAATTAATACAAACAACAGCAAACTAATGTAGTTTGATAAGATAAAAAAGCTGTTTTGACACGTAATTTTGTTTATATTTCAGAGCACCTAGGTCGAGATCTGTGGAACCTCTCGGCAATTTCCGCGGCGAAGTGAAACGGGAATAATACTACCTACTTAGTTGTATCCCAAAGAGACAATGGTGTTATCGAGTGCAATAATATTACACGTTATTCATTATAGCCAAAGGCAACTTCAGGAAAATGTTTCACAGATGCTTCGTTCATTTCAAGTGTCTCCGGTATTAAATAATAATTATTATCTATCTATTAAACGTTAACAATATTGTTATTGTGTCACGAATATAAATAGGCTGATATTGTATCGTAATAATATCACCTTTATAAATATTCTTATGGAATAAAATGGTAAAATGGGGCTACTCGAAAACTGCTTGGTTATTCATTTGAACCACGGTCTAGTACATAAATGGTACTGTTGTTGATGTATCTAGGTACTATTTTGAATATAATTCAATAACCAGCTGGTCACTCTTGTTATATCAGCCTCATTATGCCACTTTACATCTAATACTTACGCTAAATTTTCTTAGCTTTGTAAAATAAGACTGTATGTATAGCTGTAGCTACTGTTATATTTTCGTTGTAGTCTGTTATATGATAGGTATTGTTAAAGTATGTTAGGAATGCTAGATCTCGTTATTTACTGTAACTTGTATATACTAGTAGTCATAGAACATTTTGTTACGATGTTATCTATCAATGAAGACTAGACTTCCTTAACAACACCACATGACAATTAAAATAAAAAGGCAATCAGACTGATATTTAAATAATGATGTGTGTACCTATATTACTGCCAAAGCTTTAGAGTTAGCGAGGAAACATCGAACAGATTTCTCTAAACCTAGATAATACGATGTGCGGCGCCGACACGCGCCGTTCGCTCTCGGACGACTGACCATCCTACACGACGAAAACGATGAAATTGATTTATATCAGGAGATATCTTAGAATAATTCCCACTGCCGACTTACTACTTCCATGTGATGATATTATATAAAATATTCAGCGAATTTACTCCGTCCATTGTAATGTCCATGAAAACGGCCTTATATCTGAATGGCATAAATTAAGTTTTAATTTCAAATTACAAAAAAATAACATGAAATAGGTATGATAGCCTTTAGAGTTCGAGCAGCATCTGTTATGTAATCCATCCATAAATTCATCCACAGTATTGTCTTACATTTAATGTAAATAAATTGCAATACCTCAATGCTTTTGAAATTATACACGAATATCATAATAATTTTGATTTATTTCACCAAATACTCCATGATCAAAACTATAAAAATAAATAAAGTCGAAATACTTCAACTGCAGTACCTACCTACCACCTCCTGATTAATGTGGAAAGGTTGAGAAGTAAATAGTTATAATCGCCGCTGATGTTCTCCTAAAAACGTTCAAGAAGTCCTAAAAATGTAATTTTTATTCGATGTTACTTGATGTCGCAAAGCATGGCGACTCCTCTTAGAATCCAGTGCTCGGGGCTCTTGACGGTGGGCAGCCAAAGCGGAGTGATAAAAGTTAAGCCGGTCCGCACTGGCTTTTTGTACACCGGACACTACAAAACCATAAACAATGTAAAACTGCTTGCTAAGTAAAGATATTGCACAATTTTAAGGATAATAACCTGGTAAAGTTTGGGGTCCTTGGGTGCCGCGGAGTTGATTGCGTATACGTGTATTACCGGTAGCACTGCGTATACTACTTTTAGAGCAGACTCACATAGACGCATGTTGCGACGATCCCAAGCTGCGCCTTCTAGGTATACACCATGTATAAACACACCTTCCTACATGGGCAATAAAGTTTGGTATTGTAATTAGCTTTAATTAGAAAAAGATCTCGAATAGGGAAACAAACCTCGTGTACATTATTCTACATCTTACCAGAGGCGGAGCTTTAATTTCCTCCAGTGCAAATTTAGTAACATCATTGTGTAAAGTGACCATGTCGAGCGCCCAGCCCTTGTGGGCTCGAGTTACTTCCTGACGCATGGCGGTCAAAAATCCTAAAAGGAACAGAGTTAACTTTCTATTATCAGATCACATTTAGATTTTACAGTTTGTTCTAAAATATTGTCCTTAACCTTGTGGATTAAAGAATCCTGTCATCCAGAATGAATTTGGCCTTGCTTGGAAGCACCACGTGGAGAATTGTATCGTTCTTTCCAAAAACTCAGTAAACCAAAAACCTAATGTAGAAGACGACCAAGAAGTCTTCAACCAGATTTGAGGAACTTTAGCATCATAGATATTGTCTAAAGAATCTCGTAGAGCCTATAACAAAACATACATAATTATATAATAGTTATACAATCTATCTACACACATTTAATCGTTTGTATAAAAATACAATTATCATGTCGTCGAGGTTCTTAAGTTTGAAGTTACTAATTACAATTATGGCGTACACCATTATTTTATTGCGACATGTGAACCAGACTTCTTACAAGTCAATATTCAACCTGTTTAATAAATTGTTTTTGCAAGGGACTATCGCATATTTATTCAATTTAGGTAGGTACTCAGAATATTGCAATGCGTTACCTCATTCATAATTATTGTTCCATCAATTGCGAGCAATAAGTCTTTCAAAGTAGTTCTGACAAGCGTAATTACTTTCTGCATGCGGTCGATTTCTTGTCTCAAAAATATCACCATAGGATTTATTATACCGTATAATCTCAATCTAAAAAAAAATAGCAATAAAATGAGTAACCGGTTGTTCTTGTTCACGCTGAACACGCGGACAGGGGTGCGGTAGACGTTGCGAGTTCACATTGAGTACACTTGCATGCCCTTATCACATTTTAAAGAGGAACACGTAAGTATGATATTCAAGGTGCAAGGATAAAAAACATTTAATTTCCGTTAACCTTGCAAGCACTTCATGGGGGTCAAAGTCAACGGGAACTTTCTCAAGCATCTCTTTAGATTGCCTATAAACTGAAGCTTCACGAGTTTCTCCGCCTCCTCCACCCGACTCTTTGGGTTGAATCGATAGTATCGTATCTAATAGTTCTTGAGTAGTATTGCGCTGATACCTGGAAGCCAGAATATTTATCTATTATAATAAGAGGCACAGGACAAAAATTAACCTAAGGAGAACCCATAAACTCACGTGATATCCGCATTGGTGTGCAAACCGTAAGCTTGAGGCGGATCCACAGTTTTCATTGTCTCAATAACTTCCAGATACTCGGGTATATTCTTATATTTAAGAATGCCATATCCCTTGTAGAACTGAAATTCGTCTGTAAATATTTGGTCTGAGAACCAGACCTTACAGAAAGTGCAAAGTAGCCGGTTGTCGTAGTCGTCCGTAACTCTTCCGCCGTATTCCACCGCAGACACCATATAACTATTGACACACAACACACACACACACCATATAATTTATTTATTTATTTATTTTAAAGCTTCATGCACAAAATGTACATAAGGTGGACTTAATGCCGCATGCGTTTTCTCCCAGTCTGACCTTTGGGTGATGCAGAGAAGAGTTAATGGTGTGAGCAAGAAGCAAGCAACTATTTAATAGAGCAAATAAAATAGATACACTTACATATTTCAGAGATAAACATAAATAAACATAATTATAATATATATACCTACACAAGGGTACAACACAATACACATGCATATTTACATCCCGCTATCGATTGGACGTCCCATGAAGGCAAAAGTGCATTTAATCTGGCGTCCACCTGCTTTTGGCGTCCGCATACCGGACGCCACTTTTTTGGTCTATGCTACTTAGGTCCTTTTGGTCCTGGCTACACGTAGGTTAAAAATCGACAGACCCCAAAAGATCGGTTCAATGGCTGTTATAGTATTTTGAAAAGTTCCCAAAGAAATCTCAGCGCGGCTAGAGCGCTGCTGTAGCGCGTATATCCACAGCTGTATATTTTTGGGATTTTCTGACTATAATTCCGCCTATTTGGCGTCCTCAAAAAAAATAACAGCGACGTTGCCAGTTCGCTCATTAAATCTGTCTCAATAGATCATAATATTATCTACCGCATTCGAAACAATATTCACCGTCGTAGATTCGGATGTGTTGCGTATTATTTGGAGTCCGATTTTATTCAATTAGATTTATTTACATTTTAATACATGTCAGTGCAACTTACGACAACTTATCTGCAATCCTGTTCTCAATTTGTCAATGAGTACCTATCACTGATATATAACAGATGAGGGTATAAATTAACTACTTAATGGGATCTTAGAAATAAGTACTAAAGTGA